TTCGCTTCAGCTGCCTGGCTGCCGGCCGCCATCTTGGTTGGCAGTTAATTAGCATATCGCCCTGATTAGCCAGTGGGAAGCGTGTCGGAGGTATGGTTAATTACCATGTTTGTCTATTATTAGATAGGATTACTGTATTATTTTCCATATGAACAACTGTAAACCTACTTTTGCCCACCTACATACACACTTTCCATGTGTACGCATTTTCTTTATTTACATATCCATTGCTGAACATTTAGGTTGTTTCCATATCCTGGGGATTATAAATAATTTATGCAATGAATATGGGAGTTCAGCTATCTCTTTGAGATCCTGATTTCATTACTATGAATATATACCCAGAAGTGGGATCGCTGGGTCATATGGCAGCTCCATTTTTAATCTTTTGAGGAACCTCCATGCTGTTCTCCACAGTGGCTGCCCCGGTCTGCATCCCACAGCAATGCACAAGAGCCCTGCTCGCTTCACATCCCTGTCAGCACTCGTCATTTCTTGTCTTTTTGAGGACGGCCTTTCTAACCGGGGTGAAGTGATACTGCATGGTGGCTTTGATTTGCATTTCCCTGATGACTAGTGATGGTGAGCATGCTTCCATGTACCTGTTGGCCATTTGCATGTCTGTTGTTTTAAGGATGGTGGGAAGGGTGTGCGCCAAGGAGCCCAGGTGGCCTCTGGGAGCTGCAGAAGTGAAGTAAACAGACTCACTCCTGGAGCTGCCTAAGGAGGAACCCAGCCCATTAATAATCTGGTTTTAGCTCAAGGAGAGCCACGTGGAATTTCTGACCTGGGAAACCGTAAGATAAAACATCTGTGTTGTTCTGAGCCACGAAGAGCTGGTGATGTCACGGCTGCAACAGAAACCTGTGCAGGAATTATGAGAACGATCGTAGGCATCTGACAAGGTGAGTTGAGTCTGACATGTAGGAGGATGGAGCGGGCAGTGCCCACTCAGCCCTGCGGCTCAGGGGAGGATTTGTGGTTCTGCTGGGATGAGGGGGAGATGGGGCTCAGCCCCTGCCTGGGAAACCGGGGGGCGTGGGCGTGGGGGACCATGCGGCTTCTCATGGGCAGATCTGCTCGGTGTTTCTAGTCCACCGCTGAGGACTAGCCTTTGCTGATCACTTTACAACACTTGTCACTTGGTTTGTATAGTTCCTACTTTACACAGGAAGAACTCCAGGCAAGAAGTTAACAGAAACTACAGGTAAGATGCTGAGTGGCCATCCGTCAGGTGGGGGAGGAAGGGCTCACAGCCAGCACATACCAGGCAGGTTCTCGCATCCTCCAAGCAGAACTTTGGACCTTAAGACTTATTCCGAGTCCATGAGTATTGAAGCATAAGAAAGAGTTCCTCCCAAAGTGAGGCCTTGTTTCTCACCGAGGGAGCAGAAAGGAATCTACAGCAGTTCCCAGACCTGGTTTTGAACGTATTTCACAATTTTGAAAAACTTGAGTTATTTTAGCCTCAGGTTAGCTGCTTTTGTTTAACTTCAGTGAGAGTGGTTTTTACCCTTCCCACCGCATGGAACCAGCACTGATGGAAACCAGGAGTATCAGCTATTGTTTTATTCAAATCATATGAGCTAAGCTGCTACGTACAGGAATGTGCGCTCTTGCAAAAATATGGTTGAATTCGAGCACATGCAGGTGAGGCATTTTTCCAACTCCCAGGAACTGACTGTATGAAAAGGAAAATTAGCCACTGAAACATCATTTCAAAAGTATTATGTTTCAAATTTACTTATGTCTTCTTCTAACCTTGGTAATTCAGAGGCAGAGGGGAGGATTTTCATAAATGAACTTTTAAATAAACAGCTTTATTGAGATATAATTCCCAAACCATACAATTCACCCTCTGAAAGGGTACAACTTAATGCCTTTTGATATATTGCATTATTGATTTTGAAAAATTGTGATAAAATATAAGTAACAAAACTTGCTGTTTTGAGCCATTTTAATGTGTAACATTCAGTGGCCTTCATTACATTTACAATGTTGTGCAACCATAACCACTATTTCCAAAACATTTTCATCAGCCCAATCGGAGCTCTGCACTCATGAAGCAATAACACTCCAACCCCTCCTCCTCCCGCCCCGGTAACCTCTCCACTACTTTCTGTTTTTATGAAATTATCTATTTTAGATACTTCATGTAAATAGTCATACAGTGTTTACCCTCTTGTGTCTGCTTCATTTATTTACCGTGTTTTTAAGGCTTATTCATGTTGCAACGTGGATCAGAACTGCATTCCTTTTTGTGGCTAAATAACATTCATTGCATGTATATCCGCACTGTGCTTTCCCTTCACTGTTGATGGACACTTGGGTTGTTTCCACCTTCTGTTGTTATGAATGATGCAGCTGTGGACACGAGTCTACAAGCACCTGCTCGAGTCCTTGCTTTCAATCCTGTTGGGCATACATGTACGTGGGGGTGAGTTGCTGGACCATATGGCAGTTTTATATTTGGCATAACTTTTCCACAGTGTCTGCACCATTTACACCCCCACCAGCAATGCACAAGGGTTCCGATTCCTCCACATCCTCCCAACACCCTCCTGGTAGGTGTGTGATGACCTTTTAAATTTTGAGCAGTGGCTGAAATTTTTGACTACCATGAATGGGAACCATTCAACTTGTCTTTCCATGATATTAAGGTTGGATTTCTTCAATTTCCCTCAGTTTTGTGCACCTTCAATAATTTTTAGTGTTTGCTACGGCTCCCCCAGTCACCCCCATGTCTCCAGTGTTCTGGCTCTGGCCTTTCTTAGCAAGATCCGGGGGCTCTGGGAGACTCAGGAACAGAGAATGAGCTGTTCAGGAAGGAAGCGAACAGAGCTACGGCGACTTCAGCGCTACACAAAGGCGTTGGCTCAGAGTTCGTTTCAGCTGAGCATCATCTTTCAGTTGCTTGCTTAATAAAATGTCCAAACATCGTTTTCCATGCTTCGCACGCTGGCGGTCATAGACTTGGGTCGCCCACCTCACTGCATTCGGGCTGTGGATGAGGAACAGTGGTAAGGACTGAGCCCACGAGTCCTTAGTTTACCTGTATGTTCATTTTAAAGATCTAAACAAAATGCTAAAACTGAGTTTTACAGTGTTACCGCAGAGTGAAATGCGGGAAGCTTTTAAGTTACTTTTTGAAGTCACTTCTGCAATGTCCCCGGAACAGGTGGGCTGAGCAGGTGCTCGGTCTCGGGCCTGTTGTCCCAGTCACCCGCTCGGCAGGTCCGGAAGGAGATGCACCAGGCCACCGCGGCAGAAGGTGTTTAAAGACGGAAACTGCAGGCAAGAGGTCGGTTCTTTCCTCGACCAGGTTAAGAGTGTCTGAGGAAGTGAACCTCCCCCCCTCCCCCCCAGGAAACCGGAAAATGATTGAAGAACTTCTTCCGGTGCATTTGGGGATTTCCTTAGCGAGGTCTTTCCAATGGGTTCTGAGTTTTCTATACCCAAGTTCTCACCTAAACTTACATCCACTTTCTCTTTTTCCCCCAGAAATATCTCTTCTCAAAGACAAAAAATACTTCTACTCACTAGATGGAATGAGCATGTATTGAAGGTGGACTCTGCATCTCGATCTTGAATACGGAGTTCTTTGGGCCAGCCTTCAGGAATCACCGTCGTCTCAAAAAATTAGTCCCAGGTGGCCCCTGAGCCAAGGAGGTGCTGAGGCCTGCGTTAGTCTGTCTGCTAATCTGTTTCCCCTCTTCCCGATTGGCTAACTCCAGCCCATGCTTCTTGCGGGTCATGTTCCTTTAAGTGGACCTGTTCCCTCCGTGAAGGTTAGGAGATGGAAGATTGTGGAAGTCAATAGGAACAACAGTGTGTTTTCTATGTAAGACTTGCTACTCTCCCACGAGAATTCTGGCAGGCATTTTCTGTTCATTTCCATAAATCTGTTTTCTTTAACCCTCCCCACAAAAACATCTAAGTTTCACTCAGAATGAAAACTAAACAAACTTGCCTATTGGCAAAGGAGCTGCCCGTGTCAATGAGTACACATTTATGGGCCTCCTGCAGGTCAGGCAGGGGGATGTGGCCCTGAGATGATAAGGTTCCTGACCTCCTCGGGGCCACACACCCCAGCCAGTCATCATGCGTGTGAGTGCTGGGGGAGGGCCCGGTGGGGCATCTATTGCCTCACTTTCTCTTTCTTGAATGGCTTCTCTAAGAGTTACTGCTACTGGGCCGCCAGGGTCTGGGGTCTGCACTGTGCAGCAGAGAATCCTTAGAGGATGAACAGTGCGTGTATAGCAGGATAGGCGTGCTCACAGCAGAGAAATTGCATTTCAGGGTTCACTGATCTTGGGGTTCTCTATTCCTTTCACCCATCCTTCCTTCAGCTCCGGCAGCCCTTCTCCACTGTTCTGTAGGTAAACGACCAGTGTAGGGACTTAGTGCAAATCTATGGCGTTCCTGGGAGGATGTCCGCCCCTTGACCAAATCGACTCCTGCGCAGGGCTCTTGCCTCTGGTGAAGCGGCTGGTCCCTCCCTCCACGCACGGTTCCTCTGGTGACATTTCCTCCACTTCTCACTGTTTTTCTAACTACACGGTCCAGCTCAGCCTGCCAGGGTGGACACAGAATTATGCAACACCCCGGGTTTATAAACACCCCGGGGGTCACTCCCTCCCCTTCCTGGCCCTGTTAACAAGGATCTTTTATGAAATCTGCGCCTGTCAATTTTATTGTCCTGTTAGATTATAAAATCTTTGCGGGCAGAGAAGGTCTCATGCCAAGTTTATGAACTAAATGGCATAGAAGCCAATTTATGTTGGAGGTCAGGAACCTTATCATCTCAGGGCCACACTAGGGCACCAGGAGGCCGGTTTCCCTGGGAAGGAGCGTGAAGCCTCTGTCCAAGCCCCAAACATGACCTGGCAGAAGCAGCTCACTTCCTTCGTCACCGGGAAGCCACTCCTCGGTCTCCTGCGCGTCCGTGACCGCACAGTGAACACAGCAGCACCCACAAACGCTTCAACTCCACGGCGAATGTCTAAGCTCATTGCTTTTAGTCACATGGAGCAATAAAATTACTTGTTTTAACGTATTGCCTACTAAACTTCTACTGTTGTTTAGATTCAAAATGCTTTTTTCCTTTGAAATTTTTATGGCAATTTAAAAAAAAATTAAGTAAGGTTCCTAAGCGCATGTGATTGGACTTCACTTAGGCATTTATTTAGCCAAAAAACGTGCAGTCACAGCTCTAAGTCTTTGCAAATATTAACTCATTTATTATTTCATTTACTGTTTTCATCCTTATAAGAAGCTAATAACAACACTCTTATTATTTGTATTTTATAGATGAGGAAGCCAAGGGGCTGGGAGGTGAAGGCAACTACTCTAGTTAAGAGAGGAAATCTGAGCTGGGGTTCCTTCCTGGGTAATTAGGCTCAAGGATTCATGGTCTTAGTCAGTGCTGCCTGTTTCACTCATGTATGAATTCAACCAATTACTTAACTCCTACCTCCTGTTAGGAATTGTTTTGGCACTTGGGTTCCAGAGATAAAGTCTTAGTTCAGTGGTGAAGAAAGGTTTGTGAACAAATAATTGTAACGGCGGTGTCTAACCAAGAAGACACGCACAGTGGCTGTGGAGTCAGAGTGGAGACGCAGCTCAAAGAAGGCTGCTCTTACCATGGGAGGGGCAGGGGAAGGGCAGACAGAGAGCACGCCCCGCGTGTCCGAACATGGGAGCATGAAGTCAGTGTCACAGCGGCCTTTATAGCCACAACACTGGGGGATGTGCTAATCTATGAATTTCTCACTACTGACAGTTGGCAGAATATAAAACACAACTGCATTTATTTCAATATTTGTGGGCATGTGTGTGTACTCTGTTGAAATGCTGGTGATGTTTGAGTAATAAAATAAACATAATTCATAAATAAAATTCACCTATCCTGAAAACAAATTTTCTGACCTTAATTTGATCAAAATAACTAATAATTTTATAATCAAAACTGCCACATACTAGTATACTATTAGCAATAATAAACTGTGTCTACGTATATACTCATGTTCAAAGTGTATAGATTTTGAACATATAATCATCAAATTGTAAATTAAAACAACTGAACAAAATTTAAATTATTTTTATAATTTTTCAAAAATTTATTTTTCATGAAATGTATTTGTTATATGTTAAAAATAAAATAAGACATTAATTAAACATTTTAATCAGCTAAAGCTGAAATTTCTAAATTAACTTTTTGAAAATTTAAATCAATTCATTAAATATTTTTACAAAAATAAAATCCTTCCTAATTCTTCTAGAAATCAATGTCCATGTAGTTAACTGGACAGATGAGCCACACACGTTACATCTATTTATATGCAAATCTGAGTCACCGGAGTTGTTTAAAGTTACAGAACGTTCCTTAGCTCCCTGTACAGCTCTTGTGAATTCCCACTGGTTCGTGAGCAGCTGTGGAACCGTAAACTTGAGCTCAGGGACAAGAAGCTGGCCCGCCCTGGCTGCGGGAAGCATGGCTGGTCTGAGGACTGCACTGCTCCCTGCCGGAGGCCTCCACACTCAGCGGGGTGTCTCCCAGGCCAGCAGCGGGGGCCTGGGGCCTGGCACCGGCTTCCGCTGCAGTGCCTCTGCGCAGGCCATGGAGATGGAGGCCGTTTCCTCGGAGCCTGAGCTGGTTAGTCCCGAGAGCGGATGTTCAGGGTCCCATGTCTCACCCAGGGCTGAGCGCCTGCTCCTAAAAGAGGCGTCCGTCTGTCCTTTCGCACACTTGCTCTTGTTTGTGATGCCCGAGGCCCTCCACAGTGCAGGTCCGTGCAGGGGCGGGAGGCGTATGCCCTGTAACCGCGGCCCCAGGACGGAGGGATGCTCCAGATGAGGCGGTGCGTGGCGGAGTCTTGGAGGAAGAGCAGCGTGGCGTGTCGCTGATGGCCATGCCAGGCGCAGCGGCTTCTTGGGGGGGTGGGGGGAGGGGGGAGGGAGCAGAGGTCTTAAGAGCCATTTTGGAGTTTATCGTGAAACAAGGAGGAACCTTGCAGGGTTTCCCAGGGGAGGAACTTGTTTCTGTCACACCCTGACGTGGAGAAGGACGGGGACAGGCAGAGATGCCAAGCAGGCAGCCATGATCCCAGGAAGAAGCAATGACGGCCTGGCAAAGCTGCGGGTGTGGACGTGAGGAGCGAGGGTGGGAGGGTCTGGGGGGAGGCCCAGGTGTGGGCCGAGCACATGATGGCTGCTGAGTGAATGTTTGCCCACAGCATCTTAATGACACAGTCCCGTGCCCGGGTTTCCGTGTGAATTAATTGGAAGATACTGTTTTAACGCTTTGAATTGCAAAGGGGTGCATTCTTCACCAGGAAAGACTGATGGAGTCACGGGAGCCGTCCGGGAAGCTGGGCTGATACTGGTGCACAGTTGTGTGTGTTCCAAGTATGCGCGGTTCTTGGCCGCCGTCTCCTGAGTCCCAGGAGCTCATCTCACAGGTGCATCAGGTCACGGGAAACTGGGTCACAGCGTGTAGGGCCCACGCGGGCGTCTTCCGGGCAGGCCGCACCCGCAGGCCCCTGTGGGGAGACTGGATCCGCTGTGCGCAGCGGGAAACCCTTGGGGTCCTTCCTGAGTTTCCCAAATTGACGGTAACTTTACAGAATGCTCTCTCTGTTCTTTCAAGTGTCCAATCTTTTCTTTCTAAAACACAGTGAGCCAGGATGACTCTTCTGTTGTGTAGCCTGGCTGGGCCCACACTCCCCGGGCTCCCTGGTGCCCAGAGCACTGGGGACCACAGAATACACTCCCACGGTGACACTCCCCATGCCCCCGTGGACCCCCCTCCCACGCGGGAACTGTCTGAAGGACGAGGTGTGCGGTCTTTAGCTGCTGCCGGGACACGCTGTGTGTCCCTTCTTAGCGAATGGTGGCCACTGCCTGGGGTCAGAGTGACTGTGGCCCGTGAACAGAGCAGAAGTGAGTACGTCCTTTCTCCGCTCAGCGCAGAAGCTCTTAGACGTAAAAGGGAAGGTTTTCTGAGGTTCCGTTTATTGAGGCCCATCGGTCTCACATGCTGTGCTGAGGGCTTGCGTGCATTAATGCATCTCATTCTCACAGCAGCCAGGTTGGGCATGTACATCTGTATCCAATAGGAAGCCGTGGAGGCCTCAGGAGGTGAAGACTCGCCTGGGGTTACAAGGTGTGGAGGCAGCGCTGACATCCCAGAGCCTAGGCTTAAAGCTGGACCTGCCCTATCCCAAAGCCCATGCTCTTTCTGACCCTCCCGCTGTCCTGCCGCCGCCCTGCGCGCTCTGCTTTCTGGAGGGCGGACTAGTGGGGCTGTCTGGGGCCGGCCCCCCAGGCTCAGGAGGCCACGCTCCAGGGACAGAGCAGGCGACGCCCTGCCAGTTGATTTGCTTCCTGACTTTTGATATTTTGGTAAAAAATAACTTGAAATTGAGCCAATATATAGTTTTTAATTTTATTTTTATTGTCAACACTATTACAGATGTCCCATTCCCCACCCGACCCTCTGCCCTCCTCCACCCAGCCGCCCCCTTCCCTCTGGCCCTCACACACTGTTCTCTGTATCTACGGGTTATACATACATGGGGTGTCCCAGAAAGTTTTTTGATAGTTTATTTGATGTTTCTTTCTTTTCAGATTTAACCCATTAGAATTAATAATTATTCAAAGTGTGTGTACATTTTTGGGGGGCACCCTGTGTGCTCTTTGGCTAATTTTCCTTCACCTTCTTTCATGCAGTGCAGTCCCCCCACCCCTTCCCCTCTGACAGCTGTCAGTGTGTTCCATGTATCCGCGCCTCTGTTTCTATTTTGCTCGTTAAGCAACATATTTGAAAGACAGCCTCCTTTTT